AGAGTTTTAGTCGCTCTCACTCTACTGGTTTTCTATGGGTATCATCCACAATTCCATAAAGACTTAGTAAGAATAGAAGTGATGCCATTAAATTATGTAACCATTTTTATTCATGACATTGTTGCAACATCCTCTCTCTTTCTCTAACCAGGAACCACCAGACATCGAAGTCTGGACTACAAAGATCCATTCTCATAGCTTCCAATATGTGTATATATAGATTCATATTTACTACACACTGTCTCTCCCCACGATAACCATCTCTCTCTCTCTCTCTCTCTCTCTCTCTCTCAAATCCAATATCCAAACCCCAATGAATTGTACATTCTTTCTCAACTTCTCAAGAAGAGGAAGGGGGTTTGTACAAATAGGCCGGCCTCATAAAAGAAAAGAACAAGAAAATATTGAAAATCAGAAGGAAATGAAAAGAATGGTGAGGCTGAAAAATTGAAAGGAAAAAAATAAGGAGAAAACCTCGCTAACGGGCCCCTCTGGAAATGGCGATGGCTCTGGTTCTGTCTAAGTGAGTTATTGAGTGCCATGAAGCCAGTTCGAGACATGGATCGAATATGTATGAATCAGCAAAATGAAGAAGGGGGGAAGGGCAAAAGAATGCAATTTCTTTTAGAGGCTGTAATGTCTCACTGAATACTCTAGCACTTGCTCGGTTGGGCATATCATCTCTTTAACTCTGCAACCATTTTTGTAGATTTTGAAGGTTGGAACAATCCTCACATTCTCTGCATTTGCAACAGCTGGGCTCTCATTGATATCAACCTAAAACCATGATTTTGCAAGAAAAACTCAATCAAATCTCAGAGGTCTGGGACAGAATAGAACTGCAAAAAGGACGAGTGTGTGTTCTTTCCATTGATAACAAATACCTTCATCCTAGAATCACAAATAGTAAAACCCATACACCAAAATAAAAAAGCAATATTTCTGCATGACCTCAGATTAATATAGAATTTTGCAGTGTTACCTTGAGAAAATTGACAAAAGGGTATCTCTCACACAGAGCATCGACAAAGGGAGAGATTTGCTCGCATTGGTAGTTCGAGGAGGCTTTGAAATGCACAACTGACACCCCTGAAATTCGATTGAGATCTGTAACTGTCCATAATGAGAGAGAGAGAGAGAGAGAGAGAGAGAGAGAGAGAGAGAGAGCATTGTCTAGGAATGTGCAGTTCCAAACTGAAAACTACCCATGGGATGTAACAATAAAAGCACAGACCACTGGTGTAGTTTGAATACAAAATTCCACTCTATGTAATCTGCAATCTTTAAGATAATACCGAGATTACTTAAGGATAGATATTTTCATACTTCGCTTATATAAAGTGCATGTGATTGAGGTAGAAGTTTACCAGGTAAAGAAATGGCGGCTCTGAATTGTTCCCTTCCTGAAACTGCCTCTACTTCACCCCCAAATTTCATATTGTGAACATCCTCACCACGAGACTTTTTAAGGGCAACCTGTGCGTGGAATAGAGCCTCAGCTACAGAGCTGTCCCCAGGGAGCTCTTTCCTCAAAATCTCATAATCACGCACAGCTTCTGCCCATTTCTCTAACTGTGCATCACCATGAATAAAACTTCTTAAAGGCCAATTCACAACTAAGTGAACAATGAATTACGATAGCAAGCAAAATGTGATTCTTTTCTTGTTGATAGATGAAAGCGCGCGTGCACATACACAGATAGAGAGAGAGAGACCTCACCTCTCCATTATAGGTGGCTCGTCTGAGAATGGCTTTGGTATACTTGGGACGAAACCTGAGAGCCTGATTACAGTCCTCAATGGCCCGTTCCCATTGCCCAAGCTTCGCCCTACAAGCCGCTCTATTGCAGTAAAGCAAAGGGTTTGATGGGTCACATTCAAGGCCTTCTCCATAAGCTACACAAGCCTCTATAAACTTGCCCATGTTAAAGAGATCATTCCCCTTTGCCCTAACCCTTACTACGTTCCTTGCCCGATTGGCCATGGCTGCAATCTCAGAGCTTCGAGGGTCGATCTGAGAAGCTCTCTCGATAGCTGAAACTGCTTGATCAAACCTGCAAACCAATTGTATCCATTCTAAAACTCAGTCACATGAACCCTTACAAATCCTAAAAACTTTTTGAAACTTTTGATTAGGAGATCACCTTCCTAAAGTCATATCAACCTGAGATCGGACGAAGAAGAGGTAAGAATTGCCATTCATTCCGAAGAATTTTGTGAGAGACAGTGATGTGGAGGAGAGCTCAAAATTTTGCACACTTGATAAGGCAGCATCAGCCTCTTCGGGTCGATGGAGCATGAGCAGGGCTTCCGCTCTACATGCAAAGAGCTGTGATAAAGTACATAAATGTACATTTTAGAGGGTTATTACATGCTTCTCATTAAAGAAGTCATATTAGATTGAGTTTCGATTTTTTGTGATTAATTTTACATCACAAGATTCCGGGAGAGACAGAGTTTTGGGACATGCAGATCATCGAATGCTTGAAATAATTTCAGACACATGTAGGGTACACATCATTTGAAGGTTATAACATCGTTTGCTTTCTTTCTTGTGGTGGATAGAAATTATCAGAATGAAAATAGACCTACATTAATACAAGTATAGACAAATGAATGTTTGCTACCGAGGCAAAGAGTTGCACCAAAACAGTTGCTTCACTTGGTTTTCTCTATATGATAAATAATGTTCCAATTTGAAAGACCCACAATCACAAAATGCAAGTCCAAAGAAAGGATAATCAAAAGAAGAGTCATGTTTTACCACTATAGATGCTAAAACAACAGATTGTGGTTGCATACAAACGAGAGCTTCAAATATTTATGTCAAGGAGTTTTTCAACCTGAGGACAGGACTCAGCTCCAGCTGCAATGGCTGCATCTCCTTCCCTTAATGCACTCTTCCAATCACCAACCTTTCTAGCATCAGCACACTGGTTTACATGCCTCTCCACTGTTTGAATTCTCCTTAACTCATTGGAATCCGGTGGATTTCCGGCAAGACACAAATGTTTCCAGGCATTCTCAACCTGACCCAATCTGCATAAAATACCAAAATTCATGAGAGAAAAGAAGAGACAATCAATAGGGGCAGGAATAAGTTTGGTGCTTTCATGGGACAGGAAAAACATGAAATATGGAGAAGTCGAGACCCATTGTTCCGAAGATCCCACATTGTTCCTTGAAGCAAATACTAAGCTAGACAAAAATGGAAGACGAATAGAAAAGAATAGAATGCACCTGGGAAAAGAAAAGGAGAATGAATAAATATAATCATTATGAGATTAAGTTTCAATCAAACAAGTCAAGGGGTTCGATTTCAAAGAGTGCCATAAACAACTAAAAACTTCAGCCCCAAGCAAATTAATCAATGGGGCTGGTCATTGGGAGAGGGCCATGAACAACTAAAACTTCAGCCCCAAGCAAGGTCACTGAGAGAGAGAGAGAGAGAGAGAGAGAGAGATAGAAAAACTAAAGCTTCAGTCCCAAGCAAATCAATCACTGGACTGGTCATTTTTCCTTGTCAATTCAAAAGAGGAAACAAATAAAGCAGATCTTGCTACATAAAGGAAAACATATAGAGAACAAAACAAATAAAGCAGATCCATTGCTACATAGAAAGAAAACAAATAGAGAAACAAAAAATACCACACTTAACTATCAAGTAAAACTATAGCACCCCAAAAATCCAAAGGACTCATAAAACAGAAATCCGCAGCATTGCCCATAAACTTTTTCCAGAGGGAAAAAATAGCCAAATACAGATCAGAAATAACAAAGAGGACAAAGGAAATATACAATAGGACGGCAAAACAGTTCATGGATCCACAAAGGCCAGACCTTTCTCTACAAATCCAAAACCAGATACATCTATGAAACTGAAAGAAAAGGCAAAAAAAAGAGTTCAGACCAACGGTACAGAATGTATTGAAAACAAAAAATAAGAAAAATGTGAGCAAAGATTTCTCCAGAGTCAACAGCAATGAACAAAAGCCATGAATTTCTCTCCCAAAGGATTTCTATTTTAACAAAAAAAGGCATAAATTCTCCATCTACACATGCTAACAAGAACTTAGAAAAGATGAAAAGCAAGGCTGAAAAATAAATGCAGACCAACAGCAAACTGTGATACGAAAAAACTGAAAACCAAAATCCCCAAAAATCAGATATGAACCAGAAAAGCTCATTGCTTTTATTTTCCCAAAAGAAAAAGTTAATTTCCCTAAAACCACGACACCACAGACAGGGAGGAGAGACAAACCAAGAATAAGAGAAATGCAGATCAAGTCAAACAGTGTAGATGAGAGAGAAGATACCCAAAACAAAGATCCACCCAAGAGAGAGAAACAGCCCTAACCCCATTTCCGAAACCCAAAAAAAAATTGAAATTCAAAAAGAAAGAAAGAAGAAAAAGCAGCCATCCCCTCCCACCTCAAATGCAAAGACGCCAGCCTCTGGTGAACCCTCAAATAGGTTGGGTCGATTCGCAGAGCTTCCTCGCACTCCCTGACTGCCTCCCACACCCTGCCCAACCCCGCCAATGCGGCCGCCCTGTTCCCGTGGCAGGCTGCATTTTCAGGTGCCATTGCTATTGCCCTCTCATAATGCACTAACGCCCTCTCCATATTCCCCTTCCTATACTCCTCATTCCCCTTCCTCTTCACCTCTTCCACGTTATTGATATGGCCACTCGCCCCAGCCATGGTCTCTCCCCCTCCGCCTGCCCTCCCGCCCCTCACCACACTCCCGTGTCCATAATTCCCTGTTCCAGACCCCAACACATCGCTGCGGGACCCCCGCAAGTTCTGGAGCTTCCCAGAAGATGGCTGGACCTTTCCAGACGGCACAATGTTCCCACTGGGAAGCACATTGCCCGTTGCGGGAATCTGGCCCACAACCAGGCCGGTGGCCGCCGCCTTCACCGGATTCCGCCTTGAATCCGGCGAGCACAGTATGTTGCCAGTGACTTGCCGCTTCGTGCAGACACTCTCGGAATCTCCCGAATCCGTGGGCTTCTTCAATGAGTCGCCAGAATCCGAGGGCTTCTTGACAGAAAGCGTAGATTTTCCAGTGACCGAAGAGCCGGAGGAGCTGGTGGTGGAGCTGGAGGCGCTTCCCTCCGGAATCTGACCCATGAGCGGGGAGACCGGAGAGCCGAGGCCCGGCTCTTTGGAGTCCGGCTTGTCGGCCGTCACTTCCAGCCTTCCGATCAGAAGGTCCAGGTCCATCGTCGGCCGGGCTTTTCTCCGGTGGTCTGGATCTGACATTTTGCCCCTCCCTCACTCTGCTGGGCTCTCTCTCTCTAGAAGCCCTCCTCCCCTCTCTCTATAGAGGCAACTTCAGAACCAGATTCAGAGAAAGGGGGGGAGAGAGAGGAAAGAAGGGCAAATGGAAGCGGGGGGCATTTAATAAACACGCATATGCGACGAGAAATTTGCGTTTTTTCCTTTCTCTTTTTTTTTTTTATTTTCTCTTTTTTAGTTTTTTTTTTTTTGTCTTTCTTTTATATGTTTTATTTTGTTGTGGGGCGGTTTTAAAAGGGTAGAAAATGATGGGGTTCCCGTGAGGAAGAGAGAAGCAAGGAATGAATGCTGCTTCCTCTCCTCACCTTCTTCACGAGACACTTCCTTTTCCCCCGCCTTTTACTTTCGGTTTTTATTATTGATGAAAGCGCTTCTGTCGGAGCATATACTGTATATTTACTCCCTCAGTTAAAAGATTTATTACGTAGATTTTTTGATCGGAAATTTTGAAAATTTCTCAAGAATTAACATATGATTATTTTCAAAAAATAAAAAATAAATTTTTAGTTTTTGGGCACGTACTTCTCACCCTTCAAAAATTAGACTAATCTTGAATATTTTTTTGATTTATTTAGAAATTTTTTAGTGATGTTAATCTATGAGTTCAAGATATTACATCCCAAAATTTGGGGTCCTAAAATTACTCATAGAGTCCCAAAATTGGGGGTCCTAAGAGTTTTATACGATGGAGTAAACAGCCAATATTACCCAAGAGTATAAAATCTTTTCTCATTATTTATTTATGGGCACATATCATGTGATCCCTCTGTAGCAGTAGCATAGTTTATTTTTCGCTCCCTTGGTCAGAAGAATTATTTGGGAGGATTTTTTCATACGAACTTTTGGAAACCACCTAAAAATTCCTGGATGATTATTCTAAAAAGAAAAAAATAGAGTTTTGTCACACTTAAATCTCACTATCAAAAAATTGGATGGTCTCTATTCAATTTCAAGGCCTCATTTTTTTCTAGTGCAAAGAGACAATACAATTAAAAAAAATAAATTGTCGACATTAATCTATGGGTCGAAAGGGTAAGGTAGCTACAATTTAAATTCCTAAAATTAAAATTATTTCTAGGTGAGATTTTATCCAAGGGAGTAAATACGCATTGTAATCCCTTGGGAATAGAGTATTTTGGTTTCTTTTTAAGCTTGGTTTTCAAAATATTCAAGCGGAACAGTGGATAGACTCTACTCTCTTTGGTAGGTATGGGCCGGGAGCAAGGGCCGTTTTTCTGTCGAAGGTTAGCGTACATTTTCCTGTCGTCACTGTACGTAAATTGAGGGCTTTAATGGAATATCTCATAAGATTTGGGCTCTGACACAGCACTTATCTTCCAAACACGGCATTTTTGGTACATGCTTCGTAGACCCGCGCCCGGTAGAGTGATACTCATTTGGGGACAGAAAGAGGGCATTTTTGTCATCTGCTTCTTCTCAGCCACTGTGGGCTGGAAACGGGCCGGGCTATTAGTTCTAAAAACGTACGGCCTAGACCAGCAAATGCGGCCCAAGGGCCAGGCTAGGCCCAGTGCCGACCTAGTATGATTTTTTCTTTTGCTTTTTTGTCATTTGCGTTTAGCCCGTCCCGACCCTAACTATGCCAGGGCCGGGCAGGCATGTCTCGTTCTCACCCTTCACGCGGTCTGTTTCCTTCTTTTGTTTAATGCGATTTAGGTCATGCCATATTACATATCGCTATGAGATCTCGGATTGGGAACCCAATCAAAATGCCCATGATTCCTCCAATTTTTTCAATGCTCATTCAATGTTTTACTAATTTATTTGATTTTTGAGGAATTATTGCGCATTCTCTAGCTCATCCTCTCAAAACTTTCGATGTTTTAGTAATTTATTTGATTTTTGAGGCATTAGTGTGTATCCTCTAGCTCACCTGAGTATACCACTTGTCGGACATACTCAAGACTCCTTCCCTTGTGAAACTTCAAGAATCAATGACGATTTGGAAGTACCACTTGTGTTCTAGTTAAGGTTTAAGTTTTTATTCTCACCTAACCATTTAAAAAACGGGCAGGAACTTCATTTAGTGAATTATTAGAAAAAAAACAAAACTTATGAATAAATGAGTCATTATTTTCAAAAACAACAAACGGATTTTTCGTTCTTAGATTAGATCTGACGATAAAAAGGTGGTGGGTAATAAGCTACTACGCATGCCTATCGGGTTTCAAAATAAGCGATATTGTTGCATGGTTTTAAAAAACAGACAAAAATTTAGATTCCAACGCGAGAATGATTCCCACATTTCTCGGAAACTTTAGAGAAAACATAACTTTCTTGTTTATTTCACGCAAAATAAAAGAAAAAAAAAACAAAATTCCAAAGGAAAATTATGGGGTAGTTTCGATATTTACGGCAATACTAGGCCGTCTCTCGGTTACATGATCAAACACTCGTATTACCACATTTGGAGATTGAAAATGACCAAAATACACCTATCATTCAATCGAATGCCCAAATAGGATGGCCCTTAATGCCCGAGCCATAGTTACGGTCTCTCTCGCCCACACTGTACTTCTACAACCATTAATAAGCTAAGGGTAAAATAGTCAAACAAGAGAGAGAGGAAAAGACAAAACTGCCTCAGGATCATCCAAGTTGCTTTCAGCCCGACAGTGTACCCAGGTTAGTTCTCTTTAAGCCTTCGGTGATTCGTCTGGTACCCCACCTTAGCCTGAAAAAAAAGAAAAAAAAAATTTTAAAGAAAAAAGATTTAAATCTTTCTTTGTATCAATAATTGATCCATTGCTATTTAACTGCCAAAATCAGATGTTGGACACTTTTTCTTTTTTTATCTAAATCTAATTTATTTGGATCAATTTGAGATGGAAAAATATATAATGAGAACATTTAGCTTCGGTACAAAGTGATAACAATTAATCTTAACCATTGGATGTGAATTGGGTGGCTGTATTTATTTCATTGACCAAGCTCAAAGTTCAAAAAAAACATTTCGTAATTTATGATACATCAAATCTATCAGATTTCGTATGAAATTGTTGTAAATAATTGTGACCACCATGTACCAAAGATAAACAGTCTCATCGCATACCCTCCCATTTGAGATTTAGACAAAGTTTTCTGAGTACTCGTGATTCTATAACTCTACGAATTCAATCGGTTGTTCCTGCAATTTCACTTTTGCTTCTTAACCAAAACAACCTAAAATTTGTCTTAAATTATTTTTACTTAATATGTCTTTCAAAGCGTACATCAACTTCTTGGATCGGGAACCAAAAAAAAAGAAATCAAGTTTCTAAATTTTGGGTTTTTTTCTTTAAATAGAAATAAAAATATTATCTTTCTCTCTCAATGTTTCACCAAATTCATTCAAATCCATCCCTAAATATTTCTATCACACAAATCTACAAAAGTTCTAACAAATTTTTTTTTTTGAATCAAAACCAAAAATCCCAAATATCGATTTTTGGTTTTTGTTCAGCCCCTTTTTTTCTACTATTTTCTTTCAAATGTGTTTTTTAGTTTGATTTGATATATGTCTCCTAGAATATTGTTAGGATTTAAATCATCTTAGATGCAATAACAAGAATCCTAAAAGTTGGATGCTTTAGAAACGAAATTAAGAAGTATACACCATAATGCGAGAAAATAAAGCATCAAACATTAACGCAATAAGAACACATAGATTTGCATGGTTCACCTCAAAAGGGCCTTTCATCCACAGTTATGGTAAACTAAAATTCACTATACCAATAATAGTTAGGTCACATATTTTGGGATACAGAGTTACCTTCTTATATGTCAATAAAACTTAGTCGAGCAACCTTTTTAAACTAGTTCTCCCAACCGATATCGCTCGTCGATCTTCCATCTCTATTATGGAAAGGAAATGAACAAGATTTTCTTTTCACTCAAAATAGAAACTACCCAAAATCTTCATAGGAATTGCTTCTCTAAAAGAAACCAACTTCTCACTCTACAATAGACACCATCGCAATATTTCTTTATATATGAACCACACTTCTCTTTATATGAAGGCCTTGCCTCTCAATATAGGAGACTTTCATATCATTTCCATATGGTGACCCCAAACAAGGCATCAAGTATTCTTTCCTCTATTTTCTATATAAATGAGGTATGAATCCCATATTAGATAGGAATATCATAGATGTCACATATATCTTAAACTTACTAACTGAGAGTCTTAATCTAAATCGGGATTTCTATGGGATGATGATTTTGCTTATTACTATCTGTATGAAATCAATACTTTGATTTTGAAACACATCTTGTATATACTATTTTGTATTTTCAAGGAAAAATTTCTCCTTTTAGTGTTTTTTTTCAAATATTGGTTATTCGGCATCGATCGACTCGAATCTGGCAAGCACTCAAATTTGGTTTCCAAGTCAGTTTTTTAAACACTGATAAAAAAATAAAAATAAAAATAAGAGAGGAGAGATAGAGAGGTTAAAAAGTACGGGACTCCACTCTCTTCTCACCTCAGACCAATGTTTTGAATTGCTCAGATGAATCCTTTCAGATCATTAGTTCGATCCCATCCTAAAACTAGAAGAATCAAGCGATTGAGCTTTCCAAAATCTGAATCTTCCCCTCCTCTCAATCAATTTCAAGTTGAACTACCCATTTCTGGCTCAATCAATCGATTTTTGAACACCGCTAAAGAGAGTAGAAAAAGAAGAGGGTGAAAAACCAAAAGATTTCATGCTTCTGATGTAGCATACTGTGCATTTAATAAATTGAGTGAAACCTAATCCAAGAGTATTTTAAAGAATGCAAATTTTGGGGATATAATCTCCTCTACCTGTAAGAAAACATTTCTTGATCGTACTCTTTATGGGCTTGAATAAAATAAGACATTATACACAACGAGATTATTTACCTTTAGTACAAGGAGGTCACAATTGCTTATAATCATCTGATGTAAAATCTAATAGCTTGGGTATGTCATAAAGTTTGAAAAAATTTCTTTTGAACTTTGAGCTTGTTTAATGGAATATACAACCATTGAATTTCACATCTAACGGTCAAGATTATGACCACCTTGTACCAGAGGTAAATGGTCTCATTATATACTTTCCTATA